TTTCCGAGAAATGACGTCAAATTCTCGGAATATCTAAAATTCTTGGAAATGATGTCGAATTTTCGGAATCTCTACGATTCTTGGAACTGACGTCAAATTCTTGGAAATTTTCATATGTTTGAACGTAAGAACGAAACTTTTAACTAAAAATTCGATTTTGTATTAAGAGAGCATAATTTAAAAGGAGTTTTTACACATTTATCGTACATTTGCCGTTCCCGCACTTATTTTTTTACGACTTTTCTTAGTGTTGGAATTTTTTTAGACCTTTAAAAGATTTTTTTTTATAAATTTAAATATTCACTTGTTATACATTTATTTTTTACTGTAAATTTTACCCTTATTTTTAGAAATATAAAAATGTGTTTTGTGTAAATGTTACGTGATTTCGAGGGAAGCCCCTCCTGCTAGTATTTATTTTTTTATATATAGAAGAATAAAATATTTATACTCGTAAATATTGCTTCTTTAAATGGAACTATATATTTTTTAATACAGTTGTTGCACACCACTTGTTATCAACCAATATTTATAACCTTTAAAGTTAGAATTTTGTATTTAAAAAGATGTCTTTGTTTGCTTCGTTGAAATAATTGAAAGTACAATTGCTTACAATAGAAGTGAAAAATTCAAGACCCTATTATTTACTCTACCATATCTAAACCGAATACACTTACCAACATTTTTTATACTTAAACCCAACCTCCATCCCCATCCAACATCGCAAATTCATCCCCGTCCATCCTCATCCTAATCATCCCAATCGAACAGAGGTTCGATCCGCGCAGACCGACACCCGTATCTTGGATTACACGTCTCCTACCCCTCCTCCCTCTAATCCCAACAGCGAAAATGAATACTAATTGTGAGTACACGAGTCCCAGGTGAATTTCGGTACTCTTTAATTGCCAGGCTCGAAGCCAGCGCCAATTCCTCCGCTTTCGAGCGCACAGCTATAATCCCCGTTCCAAAGCCGGGTGTTGCGATCGTTGAACCGTGGGCAGAGACAATGCAACGGTGATTAGGCACAGCCGCGAGCAGGGTGGTGGCTCGTTTCGCGAACGATTTCCGGCCACGAACGGAGCGCCACGTTGAAAATGAAGTGGAAGGCGCCTTTAGCGGATTTCGTTTCAGCTGTAGCTCACCCAGCGCTCGTTTAACCGGTGTAAAATGCCGGCGGGGGCGGGGGTTGGGAAGGGGTGTGAGGGGGTGGATTTGACTACGACTGACAGGGACACGTTTTATGCATGTTTCAGAGGGGCAGCTGTACGCGGCGACGGTGGCCGATTTCTCTGGTGGCGAGCCGCTGATTCACAGGGACAAGATCCGCACCGAGCGCTCGGATTTGAACCAGCTGAACGGTAATGGAACTCGCGCAAATTGCATTAGAATATTCGTGCACGAGACGCGTACAACGGTGGAATTTTATCGTGCGCAGGGATTTTACCGCGTTTCTAAATTTCAATTAGCCGCGGATTCGATTTGTTCGTCGAGCTGGAGGTGGTTGGGAAGAGGGTTGTGGAAAGGGTTGTAGAAGAGAATTTGAGAATTATTACGTACGATTTTGGATCACGATATGTGCAATCATAGGAGAAGTCTGAAATATTTTTGAAAGGATGGGTGGGGGATGATGGGGAAGAATTTGAGATATTTATTTTTTTCACTTTTGAATATTAATCATTTATTCTTTGATTTAGTTTAATGTAATTCTACACGGTTTAATTGATTCAAATTTTTTTCTTCTTTTTTTTAACAATTGATTAGCCAAACTCTAAATTATTACCACGATTCCGGTCATGCAAATTATTAAAAATATTAAACGATCGTAACTTTGTCGTTCAATTAATGAACGAGTCAAAATAACCACAATCCAGATGTACGGAGCAGCAATCCATTTGACTCTAAAATATTGATAGAGAGCGCGTAACCATAATATTGATTTTCAATGCTAGAAAATGATTTTTCCACCAGCTATTTATACCCAAATTGCCGTTCGGTGAATTGAAATATTCGATATTTATTTAATCGACGTTTTAACGGCTATGTTTGGAAAACCGATCGAAAACGTATGTACATACAACAATTTCCACGCCACATTCGAATCTCTCTATCGTGCCATCACATCCGTATAAAATTTTACGACATCGTCGCACGTGAAAAATTATCGCTTATTTTATTTGTTTTACACCTCGTGTATAATGGACGATACTAACATAAATATAAGAAGATTTTGCATAAATTACACGCTTTACTTTTGCATTTGCATCTTTCTCCTTTTTTTCCTGTATTTTTTTTTTTTTTTTTTTTTTTTTTTTTTTATCAACGTTTATCCTCCTATTCTTTCTCCTGGTAAATTTCCAAATATTATTTATCGGCTGATCACGAGTTATCGGCTGACGCGGGTTTTTTGTATAAATTGCATAATCCGTTTAATGCTTGCGGAATTTTTGATCGATCGCAATTTCAACGGGGGTGTAGGCGATCCTCCCGTTGGCAATTTATCATACTGGCCGCTCTTTCGAAATTACCAAGTTATTGGAAGATCCATCTATAGCCCCGAAACGAACGGATAATTTCGTTTGCGTCGTAAAATACGTGGAAATCGAACGAGAGATATAATTAGAAATAGTAGAAGGAGAAATGTTGGAGGAAAGTATTATAAGGTTGTCTCAAAAAGTTTCTTTTCAATTTTTTTTCTTTTTTTTTTTTTTCCTATCTCCAGATCTCTCTCGTTTTTCTAGAATTTTTATTCTTATCCTTTTTAGATTAACGATGGAGATGGATTGGATTCTCATTGTTGGAGTGTATGCTGAAACTTTTGTATCCCTTCAAAATGATTTATTCGTAAAATATTTAATTAATGACGTTCAAAGAAAATTCGATTTCGTTTATGAAAAATTATCGTAATTGATTATTTAATTAACTTGTTAAAACTTGTTAATATTATTGAAATTTTGTGAGGAAAGAAATTGAATCAATATGTTCTGATATTAATAAAAAAAAAAAAAAAGAAAAAGGAATCAAAAGAAAAGAAGTTTGAAACAATTTAATACTTTATGGAGATGAATAAATAGCAGAGAATTTAAATTAGGGAAGTGATTTTTTTGTAACAGATTCAAATTTTGTTATTTCAGGTCCGAACTTCGTCAGTTCGTTTGCATACGAAGATTATGTCTTTTTCTTTTATCGAGAAACAGCTGTCGAGTACATGAATTGTGGCAAGGTAAGGTTTGATTAGAAGTATATTATATTATATATTTATCTTGAAAAAATATTTTACAATAAGAATTTTATTGAATCCTCTTCGTTATTTATTTTAAATATTTTTCCACTTTTATGAAATTTAAATTATTTTTATTTGTATTAGAAAATAACGATAATATTTTGGTCATTGCTTTAAAGATTTCCTAGTATTAAAACATTAATAAAAGTTTTAAAAAAGAATTTCAAATTCATCAATAGAACTTAAAAAAATTCTCTTAAACACTTCAAGATTTCTTAAATAAATTATCTCACAAACAAAATACCTATCCCATCAATACATAATCATATAATCTTCAAACCAACAAAATATCAATAAATAATCGTCGCTTTTAAATAATCAACAAAAATGCAATACATCATTCTACCACACAATCCACAACCTATTTTCCCAATCCATTCTCCTCGCATCCTCAAATTTTCACGCGCCAAGTCTTTCACCCTTAACCCCACTCCTCTCTCCCCCTCTCTCCAACCTCACAAAGTAACCGAGCATAATAGCTCGTACGCAGGTTGGAGGAGCAAAGACGGTCCCGTCAAAGGGCAGGGAAATATCGAAGGATTGTTCGAAAGGTTCGTGCACATTTGTGTTTTAGGCGGTGTACTCGCGGGTCGGTAGAGTGTGCCAGCACGACAAGGGCGGACCTCATGCGTTCAACGACAGATGGACGAGCTTCCTGAAAGCGAGGCTCAACTGTTCCGTGCCCGGCGAATACCCTTTCTATTTCAATGAAATACGTGAGTACGCCTGTGCACATGTACACATATCGTGTGTATATACACGTATGTATATAAATATATATATATATATACACAGCCATAAGTTCGCCACGCTATGACGTTTGCCGAGAACCCTCGTCGAGTGCACTCTCCGGACCCTGTGTACCGGACAGAGGGGTTGGCCTGACCCGGTGCACTAACCTTGCAGACTTATCGAGTAGGATTGGGCCAATTTTGCGAACAAACTGGACCGAGAAATTTATCGTTTATCCCGTGAATTTTTATTTTTATCGCTCTATTTGATAGAGACGTGGGAAAGTATATTTTTGGAAATTTTGATTTAAGTTTTTTAAGAAAAGTTGAAATTTGTAATATTTTCAGTATTTATAATTGATTTAGATTTCTTGTGAAATGAATTTTACAAGATTAAGATAGAATTTTAAGTAAATATTTCGTTTGTGGTGATATGGTTTCAAATTGTATTGGAATAGTAAAATTGGAAATAATTAGAATTAAGTTATTTTCAAAAGATACTCATATGTTTCGTATATTTGAGGTATTTTTCTTGAATTGAATTTAAAGAAATATATTTAAAATGAGAATAATGGAATTAGATATATTACAATTACAATCGACGTAAGAAGAAAAATTGTGAAGTTAATTAGTAAAATACCTAAAATTAAATTTCGTTGAAGAAGGATTCAACATTTCTGCCTCAGGGGTACGTAGTTACGAAGAATGATCTTCGTAACTGGAAAGGTTTAGCAATGTAATCTCTAAATAGAGATCAAATTTTGGCTAAAAGCAAGGCGAATGTGTGCATAGGCTAATTGGGCTGGAGTCCAAGCTCCAAATTGTCTAACAACTCTCAAGGATCATGCTCTCCAATTTTGTATCCCTTGTACACGATTCACGTATAATGCAACTTGATTTTAGAAGTTTCATTACGTTTCTGTTATTCACCTCCGTTACGAGAAAAACGGACTAACTCGAAAATTTCACTGTTTCGCATTTCAAATAATACATCGTATAATATAATCTGTTAAATCTGTAAAAGCTCTTTTATTCGATATTTTTAACCAAAGTTTTACTGAACTCTCTCTATTCAATATTAAAAATATTTATTAAGATAAATAACAACCCCAGATAGATAGTTTTAAAAATTAAAAAGAAAACGTGATTAAATTATTTCAAAATTTATTATAAATTATTACATTGAACGAAAAAGAAATTATTTGAAAATTATAAAATTATAAAGAATGATAAGAAACAATAGTTAATCAGATGGTTAACAATATAAAAATTTTATTGCGTTATTTATAAATTTATTTATTATTTCTTCCATTTTCTTCAACAATCTGTCCAAAAGAAAAATACTCAACAATCAAATCTTTACAAAGATCTTTACATCTCAATACAAAAGAAAAAAAAAATTAAAACGTTACAATTATTCGATAACGTTCAAAAACTTTCACGAGAATCTCTTCAAACGATGCTTGATTCATAAACCAAGAAAAATCTCAATCCCCTTACCAACTTCATAAAATCCCAACTCGTTTATTCTTCATTCCAACGTCAATACGTCTGAGTAATTGCCAGCCGGTAATTTCGAGAAATGCAACGTAAATTGGCGAAAAGAAGAAAAAGAAAATAGAGAGCAGGCAGGCTTCCCTCCCTTAGGTTATAAATATCCTCCAAGATAAGACGCCTTCGATATTCCTTACGGGGGCTTACCAGAAATCCATTCGGCTTGATCTCTCTTTCTCTCAACCTCTCTATCTGGCTGTGTATCAACGGACGCGCTCCTGTAATTCTTCTTCTGGAGCACGTTTTATCCGCGCCGATCGTTTCGAACGCCACCCTTAAAAAGAAAGAAAGAGAGCGAGTGAGTGAGAGAAAGAGAGAGAGAGAGAGAGAGAGAAAGAGAGAAGTACACAACGATCGTGGTGCGCAATTATGACTTAACGATAAGGTGACGAGCAAATGGATTTGATTTCCTTACTCGGCCCACCAACCGCGTCCAATTCGGTTCAATTTCCATTATGTTCGTCCCACCCCCTTACTCCACCCCCTTTCGCTCTTTTCTTCGTCTTCGTTTCTGCTCAGCGATTTTCCATTGCTGACCCACCGATTTCCTACAGCGGCCAAACTAGTTTTCCTTATCACCGCCACTTATTACATTATCATTCCTTCGTCCCGCGTTTTATAGGGCTCCTCGGCCACCCCTAATATCTTTCTGCTGCGTCACGCGAATAACAATTGAACGATTTTTCTTCAGCTTCGATTACGCTCGGCCAAAGTCTCATTTTCGTTACGACGATAGGTCGGCGGTGGTAGTAGTGGTGATGGTGGTGATGGTGGAGGTGGTTTCAGAGAGTTGATTCCGTTTTGCTCTTATCGTTAAGGGAGAATAGAATGTATCTGTAAAGAGAGTTTGCTGTGCGGGGAGATTGTTTGGCAAAAAAGCGATCGATTTAAATGAGAATTTCTCTCGGGGATCGATACATTGGGGATGAAATAGATGGAAAATGTTGGAATGAGGGGAAAAAAGGATATGAATCGTGATTCTCTCTCTCTCTCTCTCTTTCTCTTGTGGAGAATAAATATGTAGGTATTTGGATTCGTAAATGTAAATATTGAAAGTGTTTGATGCAGTATTTCATTTTCAAAACAGTGTGATTAGTAATATAATAAATTTTTAATGGAAATTATTTGAATTTTAAATAAGAGGTTATTGCATTTTTAATAGTTTGAATGAATGTTTATCCAAAGTTTTGTCAGAAAATTTCACAAATTTCTAATAAAATAATTTTTATTTTAATAGAGATTAACATTAAGAAAGTTTTAAAAAATGCTAGAATTAAAAGAACATGATAAATAAAAGTGATAAATAATGAAAATTGTATATTGTATTAATTATAAAGTATTATATTACGGGTCATAAGTATATTTTAATCGATTTTTCGACATTTAATATTACCGGCATTTTGGCAAAGTGTGGCAATTAACTGCACATTAATAACTGGGAGCAGTACTTACTAGCTTCTAATGGAGTCGGTAGATCGTAAATTCAAATTATCTATCAAAAACGTTACCTAACACATTACAATTAAATACGCGATTTATCGTGTCAATGCTTAAATTAATTGCGATAATATTCGACCGCACATTTCGCAAATTATCACAGCAAAATTAATTGAAATAAAATACGAAATTCCATTACATTCGTCCAACGCACTTTTGCCAAATAACTTTTCTCCAATAATATATTGTATCTTTTATGAATATGCCATTCAAAATTTTAGCAATTCTAAATATTATGTTGTAACGAAAATTTTTATTCCAAAGACAATTAAATTTATTTGTATGTATAACAATATAATACTATAATGTAACAATATATTAGATTGTAAACGTAATGAATCATTCAACGTCAAATTTGAATGTTTTCTTATACAAGTTTAAAAATTCAACATAAAGAAATTATTGATAAAATTTTCAAAAGAACTGAACAAATAATCTTCTTAATCAACAATCAATTAATCGTAATAATCTTGCTTTTCAATGTATCAAATAATCAAATTGTAATTAATAACATTTTCTATGAAATCATAAATATCAAAATTCTCGTACTAAGAATTCTAATTGAATGAATTTAAAACTTTTTGCATCGCAAAATGAGTCAAAATACACCAAATATATTTTCATTTCGATCCGAATGCAGCCAATGCACGAATTGCACCCATATATATTAGCAACACTATACAATTTCACACACAGTATAAAATCCCATGAATGCAAGAGATTCTTTAACAGAAATCGATATAACGCGGCATAAGTGTGCGCACACAATGGTCAGTGTCAATCGACAAAGCGGATAGAATGGCCCTCGTCAGATATTGGCCCCCGTGCATTACCGGAAAGGTTAGGGTGGGTATCGCAACGTTTCCGCCACGCGAAGGGCAGCCGAAGCGGATAAAGCTTTCATTTTCGATAGCCACTCGTGCGAATATCTCGTGTCATAAACAAAGTTTTTAATCAACGAATTTTCAAAATCTCACCCACGAAACAGGTCAAGAGTCAATTTAACGGTGGGATCGTTTGTTGTACACGCTATTGGTACACTCTTGTGCATAAATTTTTGGGTTTCTTCTAATTTTGAGCACAATGTTCGTTTACTGGAATTTTAATCGATTTAATGAATGTTTTGTAATGGTTTCATTGTTGTAGGGAAAGAAGAGATATAATTTTATAAATGTGTTGATTGTGTTAATTGTTTGTTGAATTTGTTTTTTTTTTTAATATTGTTTTTGTAAATATTTAGATATTGTTTAATATTTTCGTTCGACAATTTTTATTTCAATATTATCGTATAAAATTTGGAATAATAAGAATAATTTTTTAAAGTTTTCTTTATGATAAAAAAATTTGTTTTCATTGCGATAAAAAAAAGTGAATTATCAAATTATATAATTACATATTTTGCGAGATTCTCGTTAATATAATATGGTAATAAAATAATACGGATTTTTTTGTCATTTATGCAAAATAAAATTGGATTTTCAACTATATTAATTAACTATTTATTTGAAAGTACAAAAGAGGAAAATGAAATTTAACGAAATTTTTAATATTTTCAATTTTTTATTTCCTTTTTTAAATATTTTTGAGTATCTTTTTTGAATAGTATTTCAATGGAAATGGAACTGATTACACAGCTAGTGAAAAAGTTTATTCCGATGCTGATCAAAAAATGTCAAAAAACATGGAACAATAGGAGCACTAGATGTCCGATACATTGATACCTGTTTTATTTCTCTTTTAACGAGTTCTCCACGAACGTCAATAATATTGTATAAAAATACGCTGTCAAATACAATTGCAACATGTAACACAAACGTACATTTTAATTTCCAATTATTAAATAATTAAGCTTTCGTGCATTGAAATTCCTCTAATGAAATATTGCTCATTTTATTATAAACCGAACTTCGTCAAAAATATATTTGATTTATTCC